TAACAGACCCCACAATGGAGGTAGTCAGTCCTAATGGGCCCCACCGTCGAGATGGGCTAATAGTCCCAATGATGGAGCACTTAAAGTCTAACAGAGGTGCTGTATTATGACCAGCTGGAGAGAGCAGAGAGAGGAAGAGGGAAAAGAAGGGGAAAATATGGGGAGGAGTATAATTATAGGCATCAATAAGAGGTAGAGGAAGGTAACAGACTTAATGCTCAAAGAGGAGGATGGTGTTCTAATTGTAACCTCTTTGTAACCTTTTTGGTTTGTGGCTGAATTCTCCTTTTATCTTGCTCTATGAGGTTTTCTAGGGTAAACATAACTTCTCAACAAAATTTTCTCATGAAAGTCGATTATTCAGCTGTCCATCAGCACAAATATATATGCACATGGACATGTATACAAAAGCATGCGTACATTTACACACACACACACACAAACACACACACACACACACACACACACACACATCAAACAGAGCAACATGGGGCTAGATGGAGGTGAGTACAGCAGTGCATGATTACAACCAGGCAGGCAACCATGCATTCATTATCATACATTCTCATAAATTCACACCACTTTAAATCTGAAAATGAACAGCATGTACGCATACTTTACAACACACAGCGACATTCACATAAACGCACTGGCAACAACAGCGTCTGTCCCTCTCCGGTTCTGGTAGACTCTGTCCTCTCCCATTCTCACCTAATAGATTACCATATTTTTCACAGCCAGTCATACACACATATACACCTACACATACACACACGTGCACAAACACACACACACACACACACACACACACACACACACACACACACACACACACACACACACACACACACACACAGATGACAGAACAGCTAGAGAACCATACTCTCAAACCCATGGTAATTATGTTTGTGGACCATTTAGCTATGGTTGTAGGTATGTATATATACGTGCGTGTGTGTGCATGCATGTGTGTGTGTGTGTGTGTGTGTGTGTGTGTGTGTGTAATATGAATGTTTAGAGGCAGAGGGTTGCCAGATTTTTTTGAATATCAAACATCACATTTGAGCAAGAAAGAGAGGAGATACACAGATCAGGGAGGGTCACACAACTGCAGTCAATTTGGAGAGAATACACAAACACACACACACACACACACACACGCACACACACACACACACACACAGTGTCTGAGAAAGATTCACAGCAACCACATGCCAACTACATGTCAACCATCTGACTGTGTGACCAATCACCACATGAATATTCACAATGGTAAGATGGCTTCTACCATGTGCTCTCACACACACACACACACACACACACACACACACACACCACACACACACACACACACACACACACACACACACACACACACACACACACACACAGATGACTCGCATCTCTGAATTGGCAGGTGGCAGCAGTTCAGACGACAGAGCCAGCTGTCCACTTTAAAGGGCATTTACAACAAATACAGTCTTGACTCTAATATCTGGGTTAACAGTGTGAATGAAACATTACAATAATTACATTCAACTTTTCTAAACCTCTACGCTCTCTCTTCATTAAAGTGAAGAACTAAATTGTAATCCAGCCTTTTTGGCAATTACAGTTTAAATTGGGAGAACCAGTGGAGAGAGTTTCCTCTGTAAGAGAGGAATTTACTATGGGAACATTACAGCAATATGACCTATATTTGTCTTCGCAGCTGGTGCATCGATGGAGACATAACCAATGTGTCCAATGTGTGAAGCAACAGATGATAAACATTCACATTTGCTACTGTAAAACCAGAGGTGTTTTGGAGAAAGGTGGACTATCCCGTACTGCCCTCTCCTCCAGACCATAAGGCCAATCAGAGTTGGCCTTAGATGAATGTGACAAATCAGCAGCTCAGCTTAGATTGAACTGTACTGAATAGCACCAATTTGCCTTCTCAGTCTACCACCATTACATGCAATCAAATGCAGATAGGGAGCTGGAGGTGGGGTGAGCAGACAGAGAGGAAAAATCGAAATGATGCAAAGATTAGGAGGGGGGTGGGAGGGGGGGGGGGGGCGGGGGGGGGGGGGGGGGGGGGGTGTTACAGAACTATCACTAGAAAGAGTGGAAGGAGAGAAAAGGTTGAGATTATCACTGGGCTCTAATCAAGACCCTCTTAAGGTGATGAGAGATGGGGTGTAGAGGACAGGTCTAAATATATCCTTGGGTGTATTATATGGTTTCTTAAGGCACTTAAGGAAAGAAGTGAGGGGGGAATGGGTGGTTAGATGAAAGGATGGATGGAGAGATAAGAGCATTGAAGGAAGGCTTGGTTTGATTAAACTGGAGAATCCACTAGTAATACATAGTTTGCACATTGCTCCACGCTAACGCCATAGAACAGTGTGTTGAGTGATTGCGGGTTAGAAAATGAAAAGGAGACTACAAAGGGCACGACTGAGTCGACATCCCACACCAAAAAAGTAAAAACTATGATTGTGTTTGATTGCCAGCAGAGTGAGGAGGCTTCTCTGCTAAAACTAAATAAATCAATTAATAAATATTTTCCATCTTTTTTGGATGGTTCAGGTTTTACTTATTACATGAATAATAAAAAATACAAATGGATGGATATTGTATTTAAGGGCAGATAACAATAACCAATATTTATCGGTTTGCTTTGGCAGATACCAGTACAATAACTGATAATATTAATCTTACAAATGCAAAAGTGTTAAGGAAATATATATTTTATACTAAGAACTTTATTTTTCTAACCTTCATTTATTTTTAAATATGCAAACTAATTAGTATCAGAACTTATGCCCCCCCCCCTGATAAGCATGTACAGGTTACATGATGATCTACCCTCTGCTGCTGATGTGAAGAGACTCTCTGCTGGTAGAGATGAGGGACTGGATGTTCTCAATATTAAAGTCTCCAAGTGTTTAACTAATCTAAAGATAAATTAAGTGGTGTTCCTAGTCTGCAGCAGGTTCCACATTATCAGCTGAAATTCTATTATCAGAACAATGACTTTCTTACTTATTGTCCGATAATGTACCTGTCACCAATATATTGTGCATCTCTAACCATACAATCATCCAAGTTCCATGAAGTTGTGGTTGAAAAGAAATGTTTTGGATTTGTGTTACATCAATAATTCTGAATAGTTAGATAGATAGATTGACTTACGAGGTCAATTCATCCACAACAAATGTTTTATGATTTAGTGCTGTTGCCATGCAGACAATTTTCGTTTTCTTGCTGTTGTCTCATGACGTCTGCTGCTACAACGTCTGCTGCCGATGCAATGACACAGAGGTGAATAGCATTTTATTTGTGGTGTTGCAAAATTAAACTGGAAAAGCTAGACAGCAAAGTCTCTTTACGATAGTCACATTTAGAAAAAAAAAAAACCCAGAATAAACCTCAGGCCTTGCAGTGGAAAGTTACTATTTTTGCCACTGGTAGAAAAGTCTCTTCAATGGAAAAAAAAAAAACTCTTTTCAGTGAAAAATATTGCTGGCGATGTCCATGGAGGTCTTTATGGGTGAACTGACCTTTCATCAAGTTTGAACTCCCAGGGACTTTCTTCCATATTTCAAGGTCTATCTTTCCTTTGAGACTTGAAGAATTGCATTATAAAGCTAAAAATTGTGTTTCAAATATTGAATGAAACTACCACTGACATTTTCATCTATTTTGTTTTTTCCATACAACTCAAGGTTGCATTTTGTGTGATGATTGGTATAGGTGGGTGACGAAAAAGGAACATACTGTACTCTACAGTACACATTACATAGCTCTACCTATCCATCTCAACTCAGTATTAGCATAAAACTGAGTCAACATAATTGCATACAAAGAGCTGTTTACACAGGAACATTTCTACTCACCACTAGAACATTTCTCACCAATGAGCAAGAGAAAGCACAAAGTTGAGAATGAGGAAAATGGTGGAAGAAATGTTGAAGAAAAAGGTTGACACTTTCAAAGAGAGAGCGCTGAACCTGGTCAATTAAGTAACATTAGTGCATATTAGTCTAATTGCCTAATATTTCACTTTAAATAACGTGCAATTGTGAGATATAATCACTGTGATAAAATGTGACTTTGAAATCTGGAAGTGTTTTTCTGGGTTCTGGTTCAGATAGACCGCTTTAGTAAGTGTATTTTCGAAAGACTGTGGCTTTATTTTGTAGCTCAAATTGCATGCGAGTGTTTTTGTTAAGATCTGCATCTATGTAATGGTCATGTGAAATCCCATTTAAAAAACAACCACAGTCATAAAAAAAAACACATGATATAAGGTAGGTATTATGGTAGAAGGTACAAATTGTTCAGTGAGACACACTGTGTGTGCGTACTTATGCCCCATTCACATTGGAAGATATCGTGTTAAAGTTAATCACATGAAATAGTTCTGACAGATAATTTTCAGGACCTCTTAAGGCAATTAGGGCACCACTCTAACAGTGGTCTGTGTGTGCCTATGAGCATGGGATAGTGTTTCATGAGTGACAAAAAAGGCCTCAGTGTTAATGTTTAAGGGTTATTTTTGTCATGAATGCATGAGGTGTGCAGAGAACGTGCTGGTTTATGTGCCCAAAAAAATCCATACATATGTCTGGATGACATACAGTGATACAAAGCGGGGTTAAGGACAGGTCACCTAACCAGTAAGTTAACCTGTTAATGATCAGTCGGAAAATTTGTTACTGTTGTTATTATACTGACTAGTGGATTCATATGACACCAACAAAACATTATCTTTATAGTTGCTTTCTTACAAAATGACTCGTAAACACACCAAGACTGTAAGACATCACATTTAACAGATGGCACTTTACAAGGTAGTGTAGGCACTGTATTGGTCGTTCGGCAAATACACGCACACACATACAGTTTACATACAAATAAACACCCAAAGGCATATGACTATGAATACATGTTTAAAAATTAAAAAAATCTCCATCTCCTTCTCTCTCTCTGTCTCATATACAGTCACTCACCTCAGAAGGCCAAATCCTATTTTCTTGCTCTTCTTCTCTGTCTCTTCAGGCTCCTCTGTTTTCTTTTTCTCTTTTCCTTTCCCCTTGTTCTTTTCTTTCTTCTTTGTTTTCGCTTTCTTTTTCTTGTCTTTTTTGCCTTTCTCCTCTATCTGATCCCCCGCTCCCTGGCGAGATGAACTACTTGCAGGGGTGTCACGGCCTGAACTCGGCTCCGAACCATCATCTAGAGGGAATGAAAGAAGAAGAACAGAGGTTGGAAAAGGTTGGTTTTCAGTATGATCAGTTATGATCTGTGACCGGCTGATCAATCTCAGATTTATCAAATTTATGCCATCAGAAAGGAAGTTCTTCACTGTGAGTAAAAAAGACACAAAGCTTGCAATTTGTAATACCTGTAAGGTCATGGTAAGCCACGGAGGAACAAAAATGAAAACATTTGTAACAACAAACTTAATCAGAAACTTAAAAACACCATCACCTTGTTGAACATTTCAAGAAGCTAGCAAAGGCAAAGGGGGCAAACTAGTGCCACACTGTTTATCTCACCTGTGCATGACTTCATCTATTTGTTTCATACTTAATAGTCAATGTTATTTTTTATGAACGTACAATTTAATTGTCCATTAAAGAAAAGTTACAAAACGTTTGTATAGCTGTCAATTATAGTTCTTAGAAAGAAAATTGCAATCAGTGCATCTTCAATAACAGCAGTAGTGAAAGAAAAGAACTATAATGGATTGTGTCCACTTCTGCAATTTGTTTAAATCAATGAAACCAGAGACTCAAACTGATCAGGTACCATCCAAGAAGTCCACATACACACAGGCACACGATGCCCCATCTCCACAGCAGATCCATTAACTTTACAGTGAATTAATTAACTCTTAGAAATAAGAAAGCAAAAATGTTCAAGGCGTAAACTGTGATGCCTCATTACTTCTTCAACAGGCTGAAGCTCTGGCCTTGAATAACAATGATCTCACACACACACACACACACACACACACACGGATCACTTGTCAGATTTTATAAGATAACCAAACCAAATTAGTTACTTCAATTGAGATTTAACTTTGTGTGGATCTTCACTTCACCCTTAATTACAAAGACTGTCTTCCAACAGGATGGAAATATAATTATGTGTGTATGTGTGTATGTGTGTGTGTGTGTTTGTGTATGTGTGTATTTCAGCCTGAAGATCCACAGGCTCATGGTTATATCGGTCTTTGTTACGCCAATGTTATTGTCCTCTGTTGTCCTCTGGGGTCTGCGTGATGTAGGGTGTATGCAAGGCTCTTGTGCAGATGCCTGTGCAGCCACTACACTACGAGGGGCACCAACTGCACATGAGCTGGAAAACAAACATGGACGCTGAGTTTGAAGAGAGGCTGTGTGAAGTTTTCTGCCGCCACCCTCACCTCTACAATTCATTCTATGGAATGCGTACACCATGTTGATCAGCAGCTGTCTGTGTATTAGTCTGCAAGCCAGTGTAACCAAGGCCTTAGCCTCCTCATGAGGAGTTAAAAAGTGAACATGACCACAGTGGCCACAGCTGCGATCTCTATAGAACGTCTGTTCGAGCTGTGAATGTGTATTTTCTGAGAGGGTTTTAACACAACACACACAGAATGAGCCTCAATTACAAATGTTTTATTTCCTCTCTTAGATTTGTTCATAAAATCTGAACAGCAAAGTCAGGAAAACCCTACGTCTAAATCACGAAATGCCCACAGACCGCAGCTTGTTCTGACCTACATATAATAATCAGGACTGAATGGGTTGGAACTGGTTGTGAGTAACAGCGGCCTGTCACTACCGTAGCATGAGTAAATATTAGAAGAAAGTATGACAATGATAGCGATGATTGCGATAGCAATGATAATGTGTGATCTGCTTAAAAGCATGTCAGTGAAGTGAGCCAATATTAGAATCGTATCACCGTCACGTCACATCATATGAAGCCAATCAGCGGGCTCTTTCCTTTCTCATAGAAAACTAAAGCATGAAGAAACACCGTGCATCTTCTCTTCTCTTCTCTTGGAACACAGTAGGTTGTACTCTGCTAAAGTCATCCGTGTTTTAGTTCATGGGACAGAACACACCACAAACCACCATAATAAGAATGTGCTCTGTGCGAGACTGCTCCCCAACACTTGTAGGGATGGTGTATGTGAAGAAGGGGACATAAGAAACAGAAAACAAAGAAAAGAAAAAGAGATGGAAAATGAAACAGAAGTAAGGTAACACTACATGTCAGGAAAGACGGAAAGAGAAAGGCAGAAACAACTATTCACCGCTTGACTCCATCCCAGCTGACTTAAGACATCAAAGCCAGTGACTCAAAGCCTCTGTTGAGCGGTCAGCTTGACAACTGAATTTACTGGAAACTCTGAAGCACTGTGGCCTGATCCTGATTCACTCAGGATCCCACAAAATGTATCATCTACACATGAACCCAGATTAAACATTACTTGTGAACTAAAATGTTCTGCAATGTTCTCCCTCCTAATCACCAGTGGTCCGTAGGTAAAACAGCTAATCCACCTCTCAACAACTGACAGATGGTAATCAATAAACATTTATATGTGACATGGAAGTGAGGATATAATTTAAAGTGGAAAAATAAACAAATGTAGAGAAAGAGAGACACAGAAAGAGACAGAGAGAAAAAGAGATAGATAGATCTTCAGTGCGTGCTGTAGGGCACTGTTATCTGTCAATTAACAGCAGCTCTCAAAGTGTTGAACATTTAGAAAGATGGTGACAGATGTGGCCACCGCGTGTGTGTGGTGTTGACATGCCCTATTAGTCCTATCCTGTGTGAGAGTAGTGATCTGAAACAGCCCAACTCATTACTCTGCTGGTGACTGATAAGAGTTTGCTGCTAATAATACAGCTGGGAATTGAACTGCACTGCCCCCCCCCCCCAATCCCCTCTCCAGTGAAACAAACCAAGCAGCTACCATTTAGCTCCTGGATAAATATTTAAAGCGAAAGCCCAACGCAGCACTGAATCACATACTGCGATGAAATGCTACTGCATTGCTTCATATGTGTTGATGATTTGATGTACTTATCGCAAAGCCCTTGTCTAAGACGTAAGCCATGTTATGGGGGAAATGGTGACATACGGAAGGAAGAACGGAAAACAGCAAGTGACATGCACGAACGTCCTGTAGGATTATCCCGTCATAGTAAACATTCCTCAATCAGCAATTTCAAAGCATTTTTGGATATTTCTTTCCTTCTTTCTTTTTTTTTTTTTTTTTAACTGCTGTGACATCACTGATAAAGGTGCAAGAAGTGCAACGTGTTGGAAAGATTCAGGGTAAATGTTGACTTTAATATGCAATATTTAGTATATTATCTGTTTTGTGTCCAAATGTCTGCAGATATAAGCACCAAAAGAGCACACATTCATACACACATGCCCCCCAACTTAACACCCCTTTCATCTCTCTTACCATCATCGTCTTCAGGTGGCCCGTCATAGGATTTATCAATAGCTGCCCTGAAGCTCTCGTTGCAGCCTCTTCCCCTGACCATATTTGGACGAGGACGGTGGAATGGGAGGAGTTCGTTTTTCCTGCTGACCTCTGACATGGCCGTCTGGAGACTCTCCAGCGAACTGGACTTCTTCAGGCCGAGGGTAGGGCCGAGTTCGACAGGACCTGATGGAGCTGAGGTGGTAGACGGAGACACAGAAAAGGCAGATATGAACGTATGTACGTAGTATATGTGTTGCATCAGAAATACTGCTACAGTAAAAACAAAAAACCTGAAAAGTTTGTACATGGTAGGACATGGCCATATCTTTCCGAGTCTGATGAGCCTATCAAATAGGTTCATCCCTGCTGTACTTTGCTCTGATTGGGTTAAAAAAGCCTGTGGAGACACAGACTGGGAGCCAGTATGACCACGACATGGCTGAACTCGGGAGAGAGAAAGAAAAAAAAGAATACAGTGATGCAGTTAACTATGCTGTTGTTGAGATTATGATGGATGGGAAGTCTGTTTCACTGTTACTGGTTCTCCATCGATCATCTCAAGTATGCTGTGAGAGATATTACTGAGGGAGGGAGGGATGCAGCAGAAAGGATGATGGAGAGGAGAGGGATGTATGAGAAGACAGAACAATGGAAGAAGTATTCAAGGGAGAGATCAGAGATATTGTGAAGATAGGTTGTGAAGCTTCATAATTTCCTGTGTATATAGTTTCCAAGTGGTAAAAAAAAAAAAAAAAAAGCAAGACATGGCTGCATGTTCTGCATTAAGCAGAGTACCTAACAATTGTTGCTATCCAGCTGCTGAAACTCAGCGAAAGCCAATGCCATGCTTCCTGCTTAAGTTGGACCAAGTTCAGCCTCGAGGCTCATTGTGATGTCCCCACCACTAACGAGGACCGCCGATTGTAAACCAAAGGAGGGAAAGAGGGTAACGTGTGCTTCCAATTTGGTGTGTCACCTAAAACAGGGAGGACACTGATGGCAGGCAAGATGTGGAGAAAAGGGATAGGAGGAACGACGACAGGGAGAGAGCAAATTAAGTTTCCTCCATGGAATTCCACGGTGGCGGGGAGGAAGACAGAGAAAAATGATAGGAAGGGTGGAAGGCCGGGCGTGCTGCCAGCTCAAAATACTGCTAATCCTTACACACATACACACACACACACACACACACACATTTTGGATTCCTTGCTGGCTGTGGCTTGTCGATATGATGCCACTGTGATTCATGATGGCTAAACCTGCATCACTTTAGCTAATGATTCCCTATACACACATGACCGCTCTGTGTGCGTGTGTGCGTGTGTGTGTGTCCGGTGTCAGTGTCTCAGAGCAAAAGAGATGAGAGGACTGATGTGACTTCCACATCTATTTAAACAACCATTAACCAAACACACACACACACACACACACACACACACACACATAAAGAGTAATAACACACCTAGAATGTATGCACATACATAATTTAAGTTGCCTGCTGGGAGAGAAGACGGACAAGGGCCATAACTCCCATCCATAAAGATGGTCCACATGGCATTCAGATGTATACTGAAGCAGCAAACCCCATGCAAGTGCTATGTGATTAATCTATATTGAATCAACCCTTGATTGATGCTGAGGATTTTTCGATACGGCAAGACAGATACACATCTGCATGATGTGATGATAACACAAAGTTTTCTTGTGTATACCAAACTTTGATTAATTACACACAATAGAGGACATGTTATTTCCAAACTGCACAAGGATTTATACAAAATAACTTCATTTTTAGATTAAGTGACACTATTTACACAATGGTGGATGTTTTAGATTAATAGTCATGGAACCCATAAGGATAGGCAGCTATGGCCCTTATAATTCACTGTGAAGAATGACCTTGAAACAAAGTCAAGTTATATTTGTTATGATATGTTAGTACATGACTGACCATTTCACTTTTGGCCAGATATCTGCAGACCATCGCCTCTGGTTTTCGCACCACTGGTCTTTCCAAATGTGCGATTGTCTTTGCAAAGAGTCACTCAGATCTTTCATCGAGCAATCTTGATCAAAAATCAAGGTCAACAGGATCTGCTCAGCATTTCCATATGCGCCACAGGGTATGACAGTTAAATTGTTAACATGTAGTTCACCTGTACAGAAGAATCTGCATGTGTTATAACCATTGATAACCAAGTTTATAGCTTCCAGACGCTTAATAAGACTGTGTACCCTCTGCTGCCGGTCTGAAGTAAACTTCAGGCTTCAATCTTAGAAAAAATATTAACAGTTTTTAAAGAGGCATGTATATAAAAACACATTTTCATTTTTAGGACAAAGAGTGGAGTGTAATATTTAAAAAAAATAAAAGGTTACATATGCCCATTTCAATAGGTAATCCACTGTTTGAAATCTCTAAGGCCCGTGGATTAGAGCTGCCAGTAACATCTGAACCAAGGCCACCAAAGGCATGAATAAACTCAACATGAGTTGTCCAGGATTTTTGATGTATTATTCCTTTTATTCACACTCCAATCAGTGTCCTGAAACTCTTCGAGCCAACATGTATGCACTTGCCAACAACATTCTCAAACACACAAGCACAATCAAAGTTAAAACAGCATCTGACCATTTTCATTTTCAGTTACAATCCAGCATACTTATGCCTTGATTTGGACACATCGGTGTTTACTTGCCGCTACTGCTTTCTCTAGATCAATACAGTCTATGTGAACCATGTGTGAGTTCTTCATTTAAACTCAATGCAAGGTGGCAGGGTCAGGGTTGATTCTCTGGGGAATCTACAAAGTTTGAGGGCGAATGCAGTCTAATAGAGCCGGTGACCTCTGAGTCCAAACTTGTCTGATTGCAGACGGTTGGATTGTAGGATGATATAAACTGTGTTAAAAATAGCTTAGTGTGGTTATCAGGGAACACACACACACACACACACACACACACACACACACACACACACACACACACACACACACACACACACACACACACACACACACACGCACACGCACCACACACACACGCAAACACTGGGTGATGAGCATGCTTCCACATACTGAAACATACACACAAACACACACTTGGTCTCTCACACACACATAGTATTTTGCTGCGAGTAGCAGGATTTGTGTCACAAATGTAATTACTGCTGTCCAACTGTAAGATGATAGAATTAAGCTGCTTTTAAAGAGAGAGAGAGAGAGAGAGAGAGGGAGAGAGAGGGAGAGAGGGAGGGAGTGACAGAGAAGGGATGACGAGCAAGACAAGAGTAACAAAGTGGTTTGAGGGAAAGGATAGGAAAGTGGGGGGTTGGCAGAGGAAAACCGACATTGTGAAAGGATGCTACAGAAAGAGAGACAAAGAGAACAAGCTTGGGAATGAACGACAGAGGATAGGAGTGACAACAAGAGACAGAGTAGGAGAGAAGAAATTAAAAATTAAAAACAAAACACAAAGACAGAGAACGCCGAGCTATCCCAAGGCTATTTTGTTGGCAGGAAGGCAATAGGCTACTTTCAAAGTCAAAATTACACCGAGCAGTGGCTTAGCAGCAGGCTGCAGCAACAAAGCCAGCAGACTCAACAACAGCACCAATAAAAAGATGCGACTCAATTTCTGCATTCTATTTTTGCATTAATACACACCCAAAAAACAGTTTTTTTTAGTAAAGAGAATATTCAACTTCTATCACTGTCCCACCAGTGGAGGTCCCCCTGTGTTTCAGCCTAGAGTTGAAGAAAAACGGCACATCACAGCCAAAATACGTCACTACCCAACCCAGCCGCTATGGCATTATGAAACCATTCTATTTATGCAATCAGGCAATGTTTAACAAGACATATACAGAATTATTTATATATTACAGGATGTTTTACATGAATAATCCATCCTAAATGCAGTCACATGGATCTTTAAAACTGTGTGATTAAATTTCCTCAACCTGCGAACATTTGTAAGAGGTATGCGTGTGCACAATGCACAGAGAGTATGTGTCAGCGTGCATGTGTGTATCTGTTGTGAAATATCTTAGGTTGTTCCTGGAAACAAGATTTTCTTGTATATCATATATGTGAGTGTTGTGAGGGTCAATCTCCCAGAGGATGAAAAGCGGTTTTATTATCCCTCAGGGCTTCATATTAATTGAATGGGCGTCACAAACAATAAAAAAACATGTGACATCATCCTCAATCTCATGTCTCAGATCAGCATTTACTGGTTCCCTTCGAGCTTGATGCAGATGCTGCAGCGCTGGACAGCCTCAATTTAAAAAGAAATACTAAGAAATAAATGATGCAAATGTAACATGGTGAATTGCTTTCTACAGAAATTGTGCTGTAACCCAAAGGTAACACGGCTGTTTCCCAACAGAAGTGTCATTTCAATATCTTTAATGTCAAGTTAAAGAATGAAACTCTGAACTTACTTACCCTTTGTCTGAGCAGTGGGAAGTCCTGATTTGTCAAGGTTTTAACAAAAGTGTAACTAAACAGAGACAAAAACCTCTAACAATTGGACAGAACTTGAAAGTCCATCTAATGATAGTAATGTCATTCTCTAACACCTGAGCTGACACGCAAAGCTGAGAAAATGGCCATAACCATCACACTAACTACAGTTAATCATTTTGTCAATGCCTCTTGCATTTGCCCCAGGTTATTTAGCCAGTGAACACAGATTCAGAAAATGAAATAAGGCGTAATGACCCCGCGATCAATATCGTTGCCTCACCTTAAACACATGGGAGTGTCTTTCTGTTTTGATTGCAAGCTGAGGATCCCTGATATTCTACTTTTCAAATGTGTTTCTTAACGATGATTACTTCAGTCCTTCCTTACACAAATATGTCACTAAGAAATGGTGCTAGAAAAAAAAAAAAAAAAGTTTAATAGTATTATTTTTTGGGCAGTTGCAGAAATTTCACATTAGTTATTGATTCTTCTTACAGCAGAGAAAAGCTGCATGCAGTCCCTCTGAGAGGAAGACGCAGTATCTCTCATGTATACAAGCAAGAACATACACTCTTCAACAGGCCCACAAAACTCTTCCGAAATGAATCCATCACAGGGAAAGCAACTGATTGGTTCAGGACAGAAACAAATGGCCTCCATCCCCTCATGTTTCTCTCTCTCAGCCATCAGACAATGTACAGCACAACAAATGTCAGTGATCAG